CTGATAGCCAGTTGCCGATCTGCTGTTTAATGTATTACAAGTGTAGGCGACTATACAGCCGAAATGTCGCTGTAGGTTCTTCAAGTTTTGTACTAGCTCGGCATAGACATCCGATAGAAAGAATATCCGCTTCTGCTTCCGCTCGTGCTCGACCTCGGCGACAGGGCGTCCAATGTTCTCAGTGCGGGCGACATCGTCGTGTAGTTTATCTTGCCAGAAGAAAGCAGTCGCACTGTCGATGAAAATAGCGTGTAGTGGTCTGTGAGAAGAGTAATGGCGCGAAATGTCGAGCAGGTATGCTTGCAGACTGTTCAGCGTCGCGAGTAGAGAACCCGATGATTGTGGACGAAACACATGGACGTGTTGTAAGGAGGTCACGATAATGGATTCCAACTCTTCTGTAGCAAGAAGCGGCGGAGATATCTGCCCCTCTAGTGTATCTCTAGACCCTGTACCAGTATACGCCTTGAGCTTTCTGTCTATGAGCCCACAGGCAACAGTTCGGAGTCGCTCGGCGTCAAAACGGCCATCTGCATCAATAAAGACGACGGCTGAGGCCCGGCCATCGACTCGAATCCCGTTGATTGTCGATGGCAGGACGGCAATCGCAGTGAGATAATACAGCAAGTGAGTCTTGCCGGCTGCTGAAGATACGCTGGAGATTTCTATAACCGCGTCGATTTGCTTTTTGAGAGATGCCGTAGGGAGCCTGCGGTCTTCGGCTGAATCATATTGGTCCTCCTCAACATTCGCTTGCATGTGCTGCATCTCATGTTCACTCTGCAGCTCTTGATATGTATCCCGTCCTGCCTGTTGAATCTGAGTCTGAGCAGCAGAGAGGGACGGCAAGAACACCTCCAAAAGGGCATCCAATCGTTTGACGCCCAACTGCGAGGTGCTCTCCCCAGGACTCCCCGGAAATAGAGTTCTCAAGTCATGTAGAAGCTGCGAAAGTCAGCATGGACACCCCTCGAGTCGAGTCCGGACATGGTGGGCAGCAAGCATGCCGATATAAGCATTATAATGTTAGACATACCTCATCCAGCCGTTCCGTGTGTACTTCCCTCAGCAATTTCTCCCCGAAGCTGGCCGCCATTCCTTACTCGGGCGAGCTGAATAGATGTCATGGATATTTTGGCATCATATTTTGTTATTGATCGTTGTTAGGTTCCTACAGAAGACCATGGTATTGACGATGGCCTGGGAATTTGTTGTCCCGGTATCCATTCGACCTCCGCATCGGTCCCGACTCATTAATCGCATCGCCAAAAGACGAAAGTTTCCGCTTCCATCAACTCTTCTTCCTGCGCTGTCGGATTGAAGCAGAAGATACCATTTATCCATTACGATCTTTTAGCTTGTATTAACTACTCGCCTGGAACAGAAAGCCACACATCTACGAGATCTCCAATGGCGCCCCTCGTTCCTGTCTTCTCCGCTGAATCTCTCCCCGAGCATGTCAATACCGTCAATCGAAATTTCCAGGAAAGACGTCGCAAAGGTGGACCAGTCGACCTGGAGAGTTGCAAGTTACTGGAGATGGTGCAGTACTCGTGTAATCCACCTCAAGACGGCATCCCCAAACCAGGCGTTGGGACGTGCAAACCCATTGTCCGGTTATTCAGACGGTAAGTTCCTCTTGCATTACTTACTGGATTCACTGGTTGACTTTGCCCTTCCCAAAGGTGCGCCGGCGGATTAACGATAGAAACGACGGCGTGGGAGCCCATCAGACTGGCAGAAGAAGAGGCGAAACGAAAACGCGCAGAAGAGGCCACCAAGGCGTGATAAGGAAGAAGTACTTGCATTTGGCCGGAGTCGAGTTCGGAAGTCTACAGCCATCGGATACCAGGGATCTATCAGTGCCATTTCTACCAACTGAATCGCATAATTTGTGTGCATTGTACTCATTGGGTATCTTCTTGAGTTCGCTCAATACAAAATCACAACGCCCTGACGCCACCCGCCGCAATGCGAAATGAACTATGTGCTCACCCAGCTTTCCACTCGCGAGATACTTGTGGGATCCTTCGTTCCAGCTGGTTTCTCCTCCGTTTTCCGATTGTTGGGTGCCGTCATTCGGCGCCAGAGACCTCTTTCGCAATTGATGACTGGTGGAAGCTCCAGGCTGAATGAGAGCTTCGGCCGAGTCGCCTTGAGCTCCGGATCCGCAGCAGCTCCAGAATCAATATCCATCGTTGCAGCTGTGCCCGGCACGGTTACATCTTTGTGCATTTTCTTCGCGATGCCTTTGACTGTTTTCTCAAACATACTGTCCAAGCTCTCCATCCTCCGACCCCACAATCTCTTTTCGCGACCCGCCGAGCCGAGTTGATTATCCTTGAATGATGCCCGTGCCAGCTTGCGCAATGCCTCCTCGCCATGTCTTCCCTCTTCAGTCGCGCGCTCACGAATTTTTCGTGGGTCTTGCTCCCGTTGTGTGAAAACAGGTGTGTGCCGATATGTATGTTTACTGGGAAATTGAGGGAAATGGTTTGGGATATATGCGCTTCGAACACGGTCACTTTCGCCGCTCAATTCAGGGCCGAGGAATGGTAAACTCAACCAAGCATCCTCTTCTGGTGGAGGACTAGGCAGGAGTGAAGGAACAGGTTCGACATTTGGCAGAGGTTTTAAGTGCGGAAGCAAATCGTCCACGCGCAAGTGGTGTCTTTTGAACGCGAGTTCGAAGTCTTGGGGTATAGGTTGATTGCGTCGGCTCGAGAGCATTGATTGGCGCACGAAGGATGCGAGTTTTAAAAGGTCTAACAAGCAGCTTAGTCAAGAACACAGCCGACACATTCCCCTGTGTATCTCTATTCAATTCATTCTGGCAAGAGGTAACATACACTCCTGTGTAGCATAGCGAAAACTGTCCAGCGCGACCGGGTCGGCGAGATCAAATCCGGACTCTCTGAGACATAGCCCGATAGAGCGATTTATCAGGTGATCGACGTGGGCGTCATCAGTGATCGCGGGTTCCGGAAGAGCTGGGATAACTGGATTTCGCAAGCGGTGATGGTGGTGATATGAACGCTTCAATCGCTTCCTATCAGGCTCCTGCTGCTCTGAAGGCGTAGACGAAGAATGCTTGAGAGAGTTTTCTGAGGACACCATGGCGGTGTGGGTGGATGACGATAGGCACGACAGAGAAGGTGATGAGAGGTTCTCTATCTGGACATCGCAAGAGCTTCGCGTCAGGTCACGTGTTTCTGCCTGAGGCATGGATACCAATCACGGACTGAACGACGATGGAGTAGAGTAGGGAAGATGGATAGATTCTACGTCTCGAACATAGATTTTGTCTATATTACTTACTCTTGAAGCATAATTGAGCCAGTAGTGAGCGTTTGGCCCGAATCCCTGTGCTATCCTCCAGTCCGTTCGGAGGACCCAGTCAGGCCACTCACATCGGTCGCTTACGTGCCGGATCGGAAAGCTTCACCTCGACTTTCAAGTTCGCATCATCGTTCGCTTTCCTTTCCTTCCCCCCTCCGCCTGTCCCCCACCACCTCATAACAGGGTTCCCTGTCTGCTGATATCGCATCTACCTGTCTTCCTGAATCGTCTACTCTCATCAATCCGTCGCAATGGCCGCCGCTATTCCTCCCATCACCGGCGTACGTCTACATCCCACCCACGCTACATCCTAGCCTCTACCTTCGGTCACCCGGTAGCGATTTGGTCAAACACGTATTGGCTAACACACTAGATTATAGATGCTCCGCCGTGGTCTCGTTCTCGACCTGAGCACCGCTTTCGGTGAGTCAATCTCATATCGCTCAGCAGCACAGTGAATCGGAAATACAAGGACGAGCATAAATTGTCCCACCAGCTTCCGGGATTCCCAGGATGACCTCTATCTTCCTCTAACGAAGCAGACATGCCTTTCACAATGTATCCGAGCAACTACACCCAGCGCTGAAAGACTAACCATATACCCATTGGCGTACAGGTTTCGGCACCACCTTCGGTTACCTCTGGTGGTACGGTACGTATCATGGCACCATTCCCAAGCAGGGGAAACCCCTCCAGGCTCCTTTTGTATATATTTCTTTCTCACAATTGAGCAGGCTACCACCTCCCCCGCGTTCGCGCCCGTGACTCCTACTACACCCGTCTCGAGAAGGAGCGTGCTGCTCAGCAGGCATAGACTTGATAGTCCGTGGGTTCGATGCATCCTTCAGACAAATTCAGCATAGAGAACGGCATCATTTGCCGTCCCGTTTCAAGATTCCCGTGGTCATTTGTCGTTTGGTGACGACCAAGAGTCACATGGAGGCATAGTAGCTCAGGAGTGATCATATCGGGGGCTAGGTGCTCGACGGGTTTGGTGGTAATGGTGTCATACACGCTGTCTGGTTGATGTGTTGAACGAGTCGATGCGCCGGGCTTTCGAAAGGAAAAGAAAGAATTTGTTCAATTATTTCGCAATTGCTCAGTCATTCCTGTTGGTTGTATATATACGGTGGTTGTAGCTCCAGACATGCCGTTTCCTTTGTCCACCCTCTGTATCTTTTTGGGAAAGACCCCATCAGTCTGTAGAGCTGCTAGACTCTTCCGCCGATCTTGTCCATAGTATAGACGGCGCAAAATTGAGGCTCGGCCGGACAAGAAGTGCCATGCGCTCCTAAACGACTACAAGGAATGAATTCAAGATAGGAAAATGGTCTAAAAGACATTGGCGAAAAGAAGATACGTGGGAACCGTATAAGTGCTCATTTCTTTCATGACAAAATCTATCCAGTCGCTAAAGCAAGTCAAGTTATGTACGTGCATAGACCATTCTACGATTACGTGAACCCCCCTATAGGCCTGCATCGCATGCAGCCCATCTCCGTATCCATATCCGTATCCATCAATGAGGGCATCGCTGCGGTTTTGACCATATCATGTCCGCCGTACGTATGATGTTCGTTGAAGCTGGGCTCGTGTCGTTATTGTATATGGCGCCACTAAATTGGAACACTTTGCAATCGAAACCTAGCGGCCTGCCGCACTCATCGCATCACACGGTCGAACTGCACACCTTTGACCGATCCACCGGCCATCGCGGTGCGAACGTTGCGCTTGAAGCCCTCCCGATTCGTCCGCAGATCCTCCGCAGCTTCTTTGTTCAGAGGATCAGAGGCATTCGGCTCAAGGAAGAGAAACTATCCAGCAGATACAAAGGTCAGTCCGACAAACTATACGGAACGGGTTCACCGTGTCCCAAACCCACCTGCATGCCCACAATAACCGCATTCAAGTTCAGAACAGGCTTCCAGTCCTCCCGCAGAATATTCAGACAGACATTCCCCTCCAGATCAATATTCGGATGGTAAATCTTCTGCGTGCACTTCACTTTGGGCGGATCATGCGGGAAGTTCTGGTTAACGGTGAAGTTGAAATGGAACGCGCCACCCTTGTACATGCCCTCGTCGGGCTCGATCGTAAGCGTAAAGTTGAGGATATCGTCAGGGTTAGGAAAATTCATCTTCATCGTGCTTCCGAGGGTCAACTCCTGCAGATCTAGTCCCATGCTACTGTCAGCGAGCCTTGCTTCTTGCGTTGTGTCTCGTGCGTCGTGCGCCACCCTCATCGTCAGGCCTGCGAACGGTCCATACCTCTCTGCACGCGCAACTGCGCGGCCGTAACCTTCTTCTTCTTCTTTCCTGCTGCTCCTTCGGCATTTTCAGCCTGCTGTTGCTGTTGTTTCTACAAGAAATACCGCTTGTCAGTCATACAAGAGTAGACGAAGGACCGCGCGGGCAAGGGAGCGACTGTACCATAGACCAGATCTTCAACATCTTGGACAAAGCACCGCCACACGTCCCCTAGAAGCTTTCGACAAGAGTACCGGATATCGAACAAAACGAGGAAAAGAAAGAATATTTCCGCAGCAATAACAGCGGATCTGCAGTGGTCGTGACAAAAAACCAGAGAGAAGTATGAGGAGGGTCACTAGAGTTCGGGCCTGCGGGGGTCTTCCATAGGCAATGAATCAACCAGCGGCCTAATCTCCACTCCGCAGAAGCGCAAGATGGAGTGTGAGAGCGTAGATTGCGATCAAAGGTCAATAAAACACCAGAACTGAACAGATTGAATCGGCCACTGTGAGGAGTAAGATAAAATAGAAACTAAAAGATAGAGGTGACACTGAAGCATATTCAAAGAAGGCAATGTGCCCGCGGCCTGACGCCATCGCCACTACCCAAATTCGTAGGACAGGACAGTGTCCAGCGCTCATATGATCAAGCCAGAAGCAATCACACAAAAGAAAGACATTCATTCTTTGGCAGCTCTATCTGAGCTATTGATGCATCGAATTCCTTTTCTAATCGCTAAGAGTTTACGAGACATCACAGTGCATAAGGCCCTGTCGAAGCACATAGATCCAACCGTGACAGAGCCAACTTTAACAGAAAAAGGAGGTAACAAAGCAAGCATCATATGTAAAATACAACATTGTGATGGGAAATGTGCCAAGAGGTTCTTGGCCATCGATAGACCCTTTGGCGAAGAACCACTAATCGCAATCATTACGACAGGAAGCCCTTCTAACGCCGGGCAAAGCAGCACATCAAACCTGTCTTGCCCAGGAACCAGCAGGCTCCGATGAAACGGAACAGGGCAATGACGGCGTTGGACCACAGCAAAGCCTGGAAGAAACGCTGCGTCCGATCGGTAGCAGAATTCTGCAACATGTTAGCTTCGTCTCTTTTAACAAGGATTGCCGCCGTCTACATACCGTGAAGCCAAATTTATCTACACCGTCACTGGTGATGCAAACGGCCAAGAATGCGTTGCTAAAGATCCAAAACGTGACCAGTCTCGTTCGGAAGCTCTTGTACGAGTCTTCCAAAGTCTTCTCCTCCTTCTCAACTGGTGGCACATAGGGTGTCAGAGCACGCTTGACCGTTGCCTCGAACTGACTGTCAATATCAGCCTGGGGCTTGTCAATTTCCTCGATGACAACCTCCTTGCCCTCATCCTTGGTGGTTTTGGCAGAGGGTAAAGCGTCTGCCTTGTCTGAACCCTTGGTACCCCACGAAACGTCGTGCCAATTGCTGAAAGCGTACACGTTCAGAATATTGATGTATGACGATTGGACACACATATAGGCAGGGAAGGAAGTGAACATATGCCAGGGGTCCAGATACATGAAGGATGCCACAAAGTAGAGACCGAATGTAGCAGCGAGGGCGATAATAATGATACCCGCACCGCTGGACGAAAAGAACGACTTGAGGAATTCACCAACACCTTTGTCTGTGGTGAAATCCATAGGAGCACCTCCGGTGAACGCACGAACCACCAGGTACAGCGCATCAACAACCACGTAGACCTGAATGATGCCGAAAACGACGAAAGACGCAAGGTATGAGAACTTCGAACCCTTTGGACGGTTGCCCAGTGCGAGGATGAATTGCAAGAGAAGGAATCCCAAGTAGACATATTTCACGATAGTATTGATGATGGGAGTTGCAGTCTTGCCGAACGGGAAAGCTGTGTCTTTGTTATTGGGGCTCGGGGTGCCGACCAAGTCCATGATTACGGTGGTAGTAAGCCAGTAAGAAGCTATTCGAGCATTTGTCAGAACAAGAACAAAAAGGGGATGGAGTGCGCTTTGGATGAACATTAACTTACCCAAAGAAAACCATGTCAGAACCGTTGAGAAGATATTGTACAACATTTGGATGTGCAGGAAGAACATGCGGATAATGTTGTGTCCACTCTTGTACATCCGACCAAAGTGCATGAGCGAATAAATACCGGCAGCGAACGAACCGTTCAGCCAACGACGACGCTGCGAAATGAATTCCGCAGCGCCTTCTGGCACGTCGGTTTCAGCCTTGGAGGCCTTGACATATGTCAGGTGCCATTTTGAACCAGCTTTAGCAACCAACTCGAAACAGAGAATACGATCTTCGGCCAAGAACATGTTCTTCTTGAAAATGTTCATTCCCTCGATACCCTTCTTGCCCAGTTGCTTTGAAAGAGTGTGGTCACCGTGGAAATACTGTTCAAGAGGACGGCCCATAATTGCGCGGAATCGGTAAGCTGAGAAGGCACCAGGCAAGACGCTGACATAACCAAATGAACTCTCCAAGGGCTTGTCCAGGATGTTACTGATCTTATATTCGAAGTTCTGGGCGGCAACGAGCGGATTGATCAGGTTCTTCCAGCCCTTACCCAACATGGCGTGAATCTCACCACAAGCACCACCCAAATCTTTGTCGTTATAGAAGGCCTCCCAGAGCGACAGAAGTGACTTAGGACCAGGCTTTGTGCCGGCGTCAAGAAGAATGCAGACCTCGGGGTTGAGAATGCGACCAAATGCATTAAAGAGCCATCTGTGGGAGTTGATCTTCTTGCTGTTTTTCTGCTTCAAACAGAACATCATCTGGACCGGAGGAAGGGTACTGGGACCGTCATCGGTGGGGCGGATCAGCTGCTGATTCGGAGTCACAGACAGTTGAGTCGTATATTCAAACTATAACCAGTCAGTACCTCCAGTGGTCCCAATTGATCCGAGTACACATACAATGTGAGCCACAGTCTCTTTGCCATCGACGTCACGCTTCATGACGCCGTCCTGGTAAATACCGATTGTCGCAAGGACATCCAAAGTGTCCTTGTCGCAAGGGTCGATACCATCGAAAACCAGGCAGACCACGATCTTCTGCCAGGCTGGACCACCTTTGTTCCAAAACTCTGACTTCTTCAGATTCACGATGTCGCGAATGTTCTGCATGACACCGTGCAGTGTACGCGAAGTGAGCGTCTTGTCTTCGTTGTAATAGGTGATCGCAATAAGCAGTTCGGTATGTCTGTTGTACATCGCAGGTCGAAGGTTGTAACCATTGTGTAGTGTAAATTCGTTGGGATCGCAGGTGGCCGCGGTGTCTGAGATTTGTGCGAGCGCTTGTCAGCGACGTGGACGGAATAGAAAGGTCAGCTATAGCGTCTGAGATCACTCACATCGCATGTGCGTAAATTCCTCACTTCCACCCTCGAGATCGTTTCTGTACTTGGCCTGAATGGCGTTCTGAATCGCGCTAGGAACAGGATAATCGACGCTCAGGACGGAACCCTGCACCAACTTGACCTTTCTGGTAGCATAACGCCGTAACCCACCGGGGCCGCCTCCGGGAGCTTGTCGCTGGCGCCATGCCTCTGTGGATGAAGTGTCACTTCGAGCATAGGGGGAAGCGACACGTCCAGGGACACCGAAAGCAGCCGCCGGATTCTCCGCAGACTGAGCCGAGTAAACTGAGCCGGGGCCGGGTTGATTATAGGGGTCATGATACGCCGCTTCGGGGGCATAGGTCTCGCTCAAACTGTATCCAGAAACAGGTCTGGTAGTCGACTGACCATGCTGATGAGGGTCATCAAACGGGCCTGTGAAGGGGCCTTGCTGGCTGGATAGCAACCCTCTCGACGCCTCTTCTTCGTACTACGAATCCTTCGTATTAGCCTTGTCCGAACGTAGAGCAGACTAAAGCTTGATCCAAGACTTACCGAACCATGGGGCAGGTCTTGAAGTCGGTGGCCGTTATCCTCGTAGTGAGGCGGTGAATGAGAACCAGAGCCTTGGTAGGCCATGGTGTCGATGCGTTTTCAAGTTGTTGTCAAAATGTTGTAGTATGCGCGAGAAGGACACTGAAAAATCGACAGACGCGAGCTGAAGCGAAACGCAAGGGGAAAAACGGAAAGGGGGTATCAGGAGAAGGAGTAAGGAGACCGCCGGTCCGAATAATGTTCAGACAGGACAAAGAAATCGATCAACACTCCAATGAGTCGAACGAAGCAGATGAACAAGAAGTTAAAGACGAAAGGCCGATCAAGTAAATTATTGAAAGGCTGGTCGAGGGGCGGACACAGTAAGGAAGAAACGTGGATGAAGCCGCCAGGGCTGATGTTTGAAGCCCACAACCACGAAAGTGAGGGAGTTGACAGGGTGACAAGCCTGTGGGGGAACAAACAATTATGTATACAAATGAGGCAGTCGGGATATCAGTCAGTTTCCCCAAACAAAGCTGGGAGAGCGGGAGGTGGTGAAGGTGAAGAGTAAAAGAAAGATATGAACAACAGGCTCCAAGAGGAAAAATTTCAGAAGTATGATCAGCCCTCCTATGAGCCGTTAGACCTAGGAAGTTGAACTAAGAGGAAGTAGGAGTTCGCTTTGGCGCCCTTTTTTTTCGGTCTGCAGCAACAGCTGAGCGATGCGGATGGCCAGTGGGGAGCCCTCGGTGGTGGGTATTTGGTTTTCTTACAACAACTACCAAGGAGCCGGGAGCCTGAGTACCTAGGATGAGGCTAAGTACCTGTCAACCATCACTACCCAGTAGTTATCCAATCATCCCCGGTACTGTTGACGGATAGTCCAATGATCCCGTATCATTTTTCACATCAAAGGATTCTCTAGGCTGGACAATTGTCTGAGACATCACTACAAGAAGCAGGACTTCGAACATATTTTGAGGGTGCTGAGCAGTTCTTCCGTTGCCCCCCTTCATATTTGGAGGTTGGGGGCTCAATTAACGAAACAGATCGCCTCCAAGTGTCAGCACCGTGATACTTCGATGATCTGGTCGGTCAGGTAAAGGTATTACGTAGCCGAGATCCGTATTGTTCACGTCTTTTCATACCAATGTTCCAACCCAGCTACCTAGGTACCTACTTAGTTCCTGAAGGTACTGCATGGCAAACACCCCAGCTGACCTGGCTGCTTCTTTTTTCAAAGCTGACGTGACCGAGTCTCTTTTTGTCATTTTTCTTAAATGGCGCGAGCATCAACTTGCTATCCTAGCATGAGACTCCGGGTTTCCAGAGTCTATCTACTAGGGACGTTCGGGAGAGTCCTGTCAGTTTTACTTGGCCTATGAAAATTCATTCCAGAGCTGAAACACACCCATGGAAGCCAAGCCTGTATATATCTTAAAGCATTTAGATTTATGTATTACAATTACTGGTACTCACTCAGAACATCGAGGTCACACATCCCATGATCCAAACAATATGGCTTCGAACAATATGGCTGGGTATCTGCAGCATCGTGACTTAATGGACCTCGAGAATTGGTAAGATACTTACGTCGTTATCTTGTGGCCAAGTGTAGCTTACTAAAATATCTGGTATCCCAGCATTCTACACCCCTCGCCAGCATGACTGAGAGGGGCAGAGATTACATTCAGAAGAATGTTGATCTACTCAGCAATGGGCTGAATACTGGACTTGATATGCCAAGCGAGGTTCGGCAGATTCTAGTTTCTTTCTAGCTCATACCTACTTCAACAACTGGCTTGCTTCCATATTGTGCTGACGGCACTACTCTCTCTGTACATCACATTTGGAATTTGTCCATGCCTTAGTTATCATGCAAAGAGGCCAAACAACTCCGTAATATATTACAATAAATATACAACTACAACACAGTTTTAATACATATGAAGTTTCAGGGGGCGGGGGTCATCCAGAGATTCTCGAAAAGGCTAACGCCCCAGCCAAATATAACCTTGTGGATACAGTGGAGTGGACTCATTTCCTTTGTGTCCATCAGCCGTTGGTCAAACAAACACAGCAGAGTTTGGGAGTCAGTACTAGCCCAGATCCTTGTCTGCTCTCACTTTAATTGGAGGGTCATCCTCTAGACTACTGATTCGTTCATTTACTACATGTATTATGTTTAGAGGTCAGCCATGGTTTCAAGATTAAAATCCACATCAATCAAAGAGATTGTCTGTCATGACTGGTTTTCTTCACATTTAGGACGATACCGTATTAGGGACAGGAGTCCTTCCCGCTTCATGGTTCTCCCTGCCCTTGACATTTTTATGACTCCGTATTATTTTGCTGTCACAGTGCCACTCCATAAAAAGACTGCTTAGCCCCAGTTAAATTGGCTTGATGATCATCATTGCCACACTTGGCTGGTTAATCTGTCTTAGTCTTTTGAACCGCCACTTCTCATAACTCCTGCATACCTATTTTTAGAACAAAGCAACAAACTCCAGCCACCTTTGTACCTCTCTACATATGCAAGCTTTTAAGTCTGTTAACTTCGTATGCTACAGTCCTTGAAGATATACCTTTGATTGGGGGGGTGCTGAAATAAACCCAAATGCAGAAAGCAGATCAAAGTCTGAAGTCACACTCACAGCCTCGATGGACATATCCATGCAAAGGAGTCTGAAAGCCATCCAGAACAGGGTCTGAACCTCGGAGGATCAACCCAGTTGATCAGCTTGGAGACGGAAATTTCCGAACCAGGACCTCAGAACCACTTCTCCGAGGATCAACCCTGCAGAGAGATTCTAAGGCGCCTGTCACCTACAATGCAAGTATGACTTGGTGCATGCCACGCCTTTGCAATGAATTCGGCGGACTTAAGCTTTTGTCTTGCTTTCGTCTTGCAGCTTTGGCTGTGGTGTGGTGAAAGAAACCCCCTAATGTGATCAAGTCAGCACGCAAGGATATGATTTCTGAGCATCATATCTCATGCTATTGGCTCTGTTATCAGGTCCAGCATTTGAAGGTTATTTTGACTGCCATGTCTGAAGAGAGGAGATTTTCGACTCCCATAGACGGATCATATTCATGGAGTATCGTCTTGTCTAATGTACGTGGCAGTTCAGTACCAGGAACAGCCGGTATTCGGTGTGGATTTTTCATACCTACCACGACTGTACAACCTGTTTTGACACTGCAAACATATCCGTTTCTTCGAAAGTGTCAACTGGTTAATTTTTAAGCAAGCTTAGCTCTCGCCTGAGAGTATCCGCGAGACTAATCAAAATACTGGGTGAAGATTATCAAGCCTTGGCAGAAATTGTATTGTCAATCAGACCGGTAGATCTGTAGACTTCTCTTCATCACTGTTGTGGTTGTTGCTGTTGAAGATGATGATGTAGCTATGATATCTGTAGGGAGGAGTAACAATTACCAACAAAATCACATAAGTTGTGACTCTATTAGTAACCCCCAGGACTATCTTAGACACTCTTAGGAGGTATATACGGGCATACTGTCTCGAGCTTTAAATTAGACTTGGTCATTCTTGTGCGCTGGCTAAGGCTTCTGGTTGCGCCTGTTTCTTACCATTTCTTCCTCAGATTCGAGAGAGACACCTGAACAGTAACGATATCACTGCCGATTTCAATATGTATGTTTTTGACAGCTCGTTAGCCTGCCTTGAATTTTCTCGTTGTCATGGCAAGTACGGTGGAATAGCAATGTTTCGTTGTAAACCCGAGGGTAATTGCAACATTTAGTTTGAAGATATATATATATATACCTAGACACCGCGTTGACCAGCTCACAATTGACCTACTGCGTAACATGAATCATGACATGACACTCACTTGCCCTACCATGGTCAATCTGACAAACCATGCAAGGCATCGCAAGAGAAGAAATGTGTATACTGGAACGATGTCCATTAGTTCCTGGAGCAGATCGAGCTTGCAGGACATAGAATAACATCTCCAGCATTGCGAACGGAGACTGATCAGATAACTATCCTACGGTGTGGATTACTGCTTGACAATATCGCTGACATACATTATTTATTGCATTTCAACTCTGCTGTCTATGGAGAGTCAGAGACAGGCCAGTCTATCAAGACAACATCTACCTAAGAGCGGCCATTGGAGCACCACACTTTCTGGATGGATCAGGATGACGCATGCTTGGCACAACTCAGTAGTACTACCTTGAGAAGTGCCTTTCAAATTTCCGCATATCACAGCAGTCAAGAGAAGCACAGACTGCACAGCCCTACGAGGGCTACGTTTGAACATATGACAGACTCTGGACCTCTCAACCCAGGAAAGGGTTGTGAAACAGTGAGCTGGGCCATGGCAAATAATGGATCAGATTAAAGGCTGGTAGCGACGGAGCTGGTGTACCTGAAATTGACTCCTCTTTGTGCCGTGCCTGAGGACGAACTGGACGCCACAGTGAAATGTGATTGGTCCAGGTCATCAAGTGTAATTTCCCGTCAAAAGAACGTGAGATGGTCCAGACCAGGGGCAGTCGAGCCACGCCCCAACAACATAGGGGGCACAGCCGGCTGAACAAGCAGGCAGTTCTTGAATGGGATGGAATACCTCGATAAGCGTGAGCCATATGTGGTTGTTAAGAGACTGGCATGATAGCCACAAATTCAAGATATGCCAAGTAAGGGCGATGTCGATGGGTCGGTGTATGTACTGTATTTGTTGACTCTAGGTGGCAGTTTTCGAGTGTCATGTTAGGAGGGAAGAAGAGATAAAGAAGTCCTTGCAGAGTGGCTGCAATGTTAATGCTGCTGGCTTGGGTCTTGGCCCTGACCTCTATGCAGATAGAGAGTATCTAGATACCCGCCACTGCCTCTTTATTCTCGTACATGATCATCCAGACTACCCGCATAGAACCTAGAATGTCAACGTAGAAGCATATTCTCTATATATATCGAGGAGAGCTTGCCCTCGATAAGGGGATTCAAACTTGTTGCATCTCTGACTCCATTCTGATACTGATGAGACTAGCAGAGATACATAATCAAGATAAGCCGTGGCGTTAACATTCGGTTGTGGTGGGCATAAGATTCTCCTCCCGAAGCCCTCTTAGTAACAATAGTCCAGTACTACCTCACCACCACGACCTTCTCTCCACCCTTCTCCCTCCAAGTCAATAACCATCCCTCTTCCATTTTCTTGCCGCTCTTTACTACCACTCCCATTACTTTCCATTCTGATCTGATATCCTCGTTCTTCCCTTTACATATTATACTCCTTTTGATTCTATTCTACTCCATATACCCTCGTCTTCTCGATTGTCCATCCATTTGTTTGTTTTTGCAAGCTCCCTACTTCCATCCCCGGTCGCAGCGCGTGTCTTCCGACGTCAACCAACCGGAACAACTTGGTGCTGCTTACCGGTCGATAAATTTAAAGAAAGCGTCTGGCGATCCTGGATCTGGATGAAATCGACGTTGACTCTCTGCTTACTCAAGATTCATGATGCCCGAGAGGCTATGACTGCCGTCAACACTACACCGTCGAGATCAATCCACAGCTGCCGTCACTAAATACTTATGACCCAACCATAACGCTCTCGACTTGACGTCTTCCCTGAGCATCTCACGTTCTTTTGGATTATATCTACACATTCGCTACGCCGTTGACCGGCTTTTCACTCTTTTTCCTTTCGATTCATCGTACCTTTGCTATAGAGCCAGTCGACGGCATCGTCCTTTCGCACCGTCATTTTGCTTGTCACGACAGAAACCTGCACTGTTATCTTTCCATCCGCCATCTTTGACCTCTTCATCATGTCTCAATTCATCGATCATCCCTTCTTCCCGCGCGGTATGAGCCTTTTGCCGTCGATATGCCCTCTATGATAGTTTACTAACCCGGATGATGTTAGCCATATACTCTCGCGACTTCCAACAATGCATCTCATGCGATTCAACAGCACCGTCATGCCCCGTCTGCGATGAGGGTTACACATGTACGATGATCAGTCAATCGTGTAGCCAATGCGCCACTACCAAATGTGTTCAGACGTCCACTTCCGGCAGCAGCTCCGGCAACTCGTCAGACGGAGGCGGTAGCAATGTGGGCGCTATTGCAGGAGGAGTCATTGGTGGGGTCGCTTTCATTGCTATTGTCACATTTCTGATCTGGTTTTTCTTCGTTCGCAAGAAGCGGAGTGAATACGATCAGCAAGGTGGTGACACTGCAGAAAAGAGAAGCGCATTCGGAGACGCTCGTCAGTCTCGGAAATCGACCAACTCGATTGCCTCGACAGTCTTGACTCGCGCATCAAATGTCATTCAGATAGCCTATATCCCCGGTGTCACCAACCGATCACCGCCAGAAACCCCGGGCTCACTGGTGCCGCCGGTCCCGCCTCTTCCTGGCGCCTCCCCGGACCAGCACTTCTTTATGCCAGGCGACTTGCGCGACTCGGCCTGGTCCGATGTCTCGCAGGCTCATCGCAGCTTTTCTCCTAGCTTGCGCAGCAGCGTTGCCACCACCATCTACCGCAACAACGCCATCGTCAGCCCGATGCCTGCCCAGCAGGTCATGCGCACTCGGGCTGCTGTTGTTAGCATCCATAACGGAAACCAGCCTTCATCCGCACCAGAAACGCCAGCTGTTCCCGCCATTACCAAAGCACAGCTTGCGAAGGCGGCATTTACAGAAGCCAACACCAAGAGCTCGATTGTCGCGCGGACAGTCACCGCCAAACCTGTCATGGTGAAGGCCACCGGCGCCAAAAAGACCACAAACACACCGACTGTTCAAGCCATCGAGGAACAGACAGAGTCTAGCTCGTCTAGCACGAGCGACGCACGCTCCAGCAGCACAGCAAAGCCCAAATTCGATGCTACGACCTCCACTTTTGATGCCAGTTCGTCAGACGATGAGAACGACGACAAGACATCTCACCACAAGGACAGCGCGGGGCAGACTCCGCGTGCCAGATCCTCTCACGCCCCAACGGTGATTGAAGATTCACCTGCAGTCGATCAAAGTCCCTTCAAGGACCAACATGCCTCTCAGAACGAGGCGCGGTCGTCGGCCTTTCTGGATACGAATGACGGATCCAGGTCAAACAGAAGCAGCCGAGTACCACCTCCACGAGTCGAGAGTCCTTTCTCAGACGCGAATGAGGTGAAATGAGCATTTCTATAACGATGAATCTGCCGACATGGCGGAGAAGGACATTTGAATCAATTTTAGGGTCTTTTCTTCGGCCGAGTCATATTTCTTACATTCACTTCTCTGTATCTATGAGCCGTTATGCTTTGATATCAGCATGGATCGCATTTCGATCCCTGTCAGATTTTGTTGCGTGATATTACCAATGTCAACCGCTTCAGGTGGAGTTGATAGGAATCTGACCTAGACCATAAATTGGAAGTTTACCTCTCTATAGCACCTAAGAATTCTGTTGCCAGCCCAGTAGATGACCAAGTGATACTTTAGCTCAATCTGAGTGAAGACTGATTGAGACACCGAGGGGGAAAAAAAAATAATAATAATTCAAAGACATAAAACTGTGAAAGTATGGTAGTGGTTACTCTACTTACATGTTCTAAGTGTGGCTGCCATTCAGGGTTAATTCAAGGTAGTGTTCACCCTCCTAAATATTCTGTATCGAATCTACTAAGACCCCCACTGCAACCCTCACCTGTGCCTCTGACTATGCGACATTCGGCAGCATATCATCATTAATATGGCTATGCGTGGAAGTCTCTGGAGTCCTTATAGAAGCATCGTTTCCGCTCGCTTTTCGCTTTATAACTGACGGCTCAACAATTCAACAATGGCTTCTTGTTTAACGCCGGGGCGATGATCAGCGTAGAGTTTATTGTGGGGATTTTCCCAGCTTTGTTTCCCAGTGCCTATTTCAACGGCTGCTGGGTACTTATCGAGAGGTTTGTAATGGCCTGCATCGGACGAAGTGTAGTCCATAGCGGTCACAGGTTACTGAACATTGACTCCCGAGCTTTCTGTGTTGGAGAAACCTACTGTAGACAGTATTTATAAAGACGTCTGTGACATATTGTACTAAGTATACTATTGTCCTAAGTCATATTAAAGCCCATCAATAGACATATATGCCTGGAGAATAACTGAGAATAACCTCTCAAGTTTGGTTTGACATCATGGGTGTCTTATTCATGGTGTCATTTATAGGACATTTGCAGTATTATCATGTAGTAACACACATTAAGGAGAAAGCTTTCAGGTAACCAGTGCATGTCAATGAACTAGATATACTCTGTGTCTTGATTGACAGACAACAAGTATTTGGTTTCAATCGTCACTGACTGTGACTATTGTTTGGTCATGTTAGCCATCAAATCTATTACGCTAGAAAAATGTCTAGTCGACCATTTCTAGCATAGTAGAAACGAAAGTCATATTCTGCTTGACAGGCTGACAACGGAACAAAGTTAATTATCAGCCTATGGGATTGGTTGAATAACATTCTCGATGCCTAGATTGTGTTTGAAAGGCTCCCTCTAATACATTCAATGAGATACAGGATCCGGCCACGAAAATATAAACCACTATTGCAGTACCAGTCCTCTTGCAACAATAGCTCATGTAACCCTAGGCAGAAGTATGCCCAGTCGATTTGTGTCCCTGCCTTAATTATGTCTTGCACCTCGAATACAAGATTAGGGTTGCAGCGCATCTGCCAGTATGAATCAGGTAGTTTCCATTGAAAGGCCTCTAGCACGTTGCGAGTATCTAGGATTCTTTCGTGACAAGGTGGACGGCTCTGGTAGATCGTATCAGTGATCATCATTATGATTTCGACAGGGATATCAGCAACGATAGAATGCAACTTCATGGCGTGGCCAAGGGTTTTCTCGTGCTCTTGAGTAGCCACTGCGATCAATGTTTGGATATCACGGATTATAAGTGGACTCAAGGACATGTGTGTGCGGTCAAAGGTTCCTGCCGCATATGTGGGATAGTTCTGCTTGATCCAGGGTGCTGCATTTTCATAGCATGGATATTCATCAGTCTCATGGATTAGGTCCGGCATCCAAAGTGTTCGGTGAGCTCTCCAATACATCTCGATAGCTTGTGTAAAGGCGCGCAGGTTCTGCTTCACAACGCGGTGCCCCAGGAACCGATCAACCAGTAGCCAGCAGTGTGGATGCATGACATATCCAATACGCGCACCGTTTTCTCTATTTCGGTCAGCCTCAAAGAGATTGGCCATATGAAAATCCACGTTCCATTTCTGACGGGCCATTTTGGGCCCAGGAAAGACTAGCGCTTTATCTGAATCGATCATTATGCGGGGCTTCTGCCCGACGTCCCGCATGAGGTGTGGAGATATTCCAGATATTGATAGGCGGCTTGTCTTTGGATCATCAAGGACTAGAGTACTATTGCGTGAGGCGGGCTCAGCGGAGGATGGAAACTAGTATAGATCACTCACTTGCACGGTAAAAAAAGGACCACATCGGGGGGTCTGTTTCCAGATCCAAGTTTTCAAGCTCGGCTGCTGGCACAATGAGGCTCTTCCTCTTGTTGAATTTTCGTGCCGCCCATGCCCCCCAGCCTTTATGCGCTTTCTTCAATTCTTCTCCTATGTGTAAGGCACACTCTATCCCACACAGTACGCAACAGACATGTGGGTCCCTATCGATGGGCATTTTGGGAGATGTTGTCAGAAAGCAAAGGAAAAGAGGGAAATTTAAGCCTTATATGGTTATGGTTCAAGTAAATGACGCGATATTGATGGAATAACTGAGAAAGTGGGTTATAGTATCATGATGCTCCTATTTGGTAAGCAGACTACTTCCTACTGAGATTTCACTTTGCTTTACTATGTTTGCATCGACTGCATCTGTCTTTCTCTATAATATAAACTCCTGGAACCTCCTGGGCCTCTCTCCCTCTCTCTAAGTGTTAGCATCTGGGGGAACCCAAGTTGTGCGGACGAGGGCAGTGATGTGTCATCCTACAATTTTAGAAGGAGCGTCTCTTCGCACACCAAGTGCTGGTCAACCAAAGCGAAGACATCTTCACATGTTCCTGGATCATTCGGATTTCGTTACTGAGTCTCCATAGCTACTGTCATCGCACCGAAATGTCATTGCCAGGATCGCAGCTTCATGGTCTAGCTTGGGTCCAGGAGACATTCGGTCTCGAGCCCCGATGGGCCGTTGAACCTGGCATTGAAGCTATAACGCAGACGATACAGTCACTTCGGCCATCAGGAACGGTTGAAGTGGCTTTCCTCGCCCAGGGCACCTTCAACAAGGTCTACAACGTCAGAATAGATGGTAAGGTGCTCATCATGCGAATTTCATTGCCCGTCGACCCTAAATTCAACGGAGCATACCAGTAAACAATGCCTTACTGATGGTAAATCTACGAGCAAATTGACTGCCAAGCTTGCATTTGCTTGTTCCTCCGAGTGAAATGGGTATGCATACTATAGGAAATTATTGGGCGATGCATTTGGGTTTCTTATTCTTTCATCTGCAGGCAGTGTGTCATGTTTGCTGGTATCTGGTTTTGATTTAATAAAACCTAGGTATTAGGGCTGGGAATATCTGCCTATGCAGGAGACGGGATTACTAAAAAATAAGTAGTAACTATATCCTTTCATATTAGTTTATGGTTCAATACATACTGACACTTTCCCTGCTGAAGCCTAGCAACCTTGAGCCTAATATCAATGGAGGATTAAAAGTCAGGGTTATAGTGACTTACTGAGGCTTCCTGACACCTTTCTTGCTTTTTAGTTTTTCTATCCATCAATTCAGGTGTACCAGATTCTCAGTCTTCTTAAGTATGCATACACAAAAGAATAGTAAACTTAAACTAATGCTGCCAATTACAATGGAATCTATATGTTATCAATGTGGGTACTCTCAAGGTTATTGTTAATATCAGTCCCTAGAAATATCAAGCGGCATCCGGTATAAATAGCTGCCCAGCGGACATATTGTACTTGGTATTCCAGTTGCTATCATCTGTGGAACTCCATGCACAGCTCTGTATGTACTGTCAATAAAATGTGCCACATAATCGCTGAGCCATTCCTTTACCCGAAAATTCAAATGACTTGGCCAAAAGCTGAGCCTGATCCTCCTCCCCCAATCAATAGATGGATTATGCTGACCCGATTCTTTTGATGATCGAGCTTACTATGGCTCGGACCAGAACACAGCTTCGACGAATATCAATTAGGCAGGGAGAAGCTAGGTACTTCTGGACCAGTTAGTGCCAGCCAATAGAACTATATAGACTTGTACTGGACGTATACCAGACCGTGATCACAGTCGTCAAGGTAGGCAGCTCCTTTGGCGGGAGACGTGGCGAAGCTTTGCAATGAGAGAAGAGAAAGATATAAGGCCCTAGGAGGGCGAGGATCCTGCATTTAATGGATAAGATCATGCTGATACGAGGCTGACCCACGGAGCCTCGTGCATGCTATAGCTGGATCAAAGACAAGCCCAGCTGTGACACGGCTATCTAGCGCCCACCTTTAGCAGCTGTCGATCGACTTCGACAGAGATCATCAGGCGTCCTCATAGGTCATATCAGCCAGGATATGATTGCACCACCCAGAATGAAGCTTCCAGGTCATTAATGCAGAGGCTATTGCTTGACATACCCACAGACATTCGATTATTGGTATAGTGTTTAACAGCTACTCCGTAGAGAGGTCAAATACTGTTTACTAGGTCAAGATTATCTACTCTTCTCTCTGACTTACCAAATTATCCTTTATTTCTGCTGCCACCTGGAAGATTAAAATACGACTTATCCTATATCAGTGGACTAGATCTACAGAGTAGAAATACAGAGTAGTAACCAGCTCTGTGGCTTGTTTAAGCACCCTAGATCAGAAATCGTCTCACACTGACACACAACTAGCCAACAAACTGAAAGAGCGATGCCTCCTCAATATGCTTAACGCGCTTGGTCTCGGCATAACTTGCCTTGAGGACATTCATGCTGTAGTAGAAAGCCCCGTCATACAAGACAAACATGGTAGGCAGACCGCGGGGGATCAGAGCAAGACAATCATCGGGCTCGGGACGGAAGCCAAGGCTGTACCATGTTGAACAATCTGCGCACGAATTGGCCCTGGAATGCTGCCGGCATTCCTCTTTCAGGTACGGGACAAGATCATCTTCCATCAAGACGGTGAGGTACATGCCGTCATTTGTGCGGATCCGCGACCGCCCTTCATGTACTGAGAGCTGAAATGGGATTCCGGCGCTGTACGGATTGCCGCCGAAGATGAGCTTGCCGTTGAAATTATCAGCGTCACCATACCAAAGGCCGTCGCGAGTAACGGGATACAGAGCAAACTGCTTATCGGGATGGTAAAGGTCGATTCCATCTGCGGAAACAGGATGAGCAGGATTGAGAATAGGCTCGGACAGTGAGAGGGTAGGAGCACTGTCAGCGCTGTCGGTCCTGTATGGGTCCTCTGGGTCGATCTGAACATCAAGTGCTTCATCGATATTGTCCGTCCAACGCCCCTCGAGAGAGACGTACTGTGACCCACGGCAGATGTGAAACACGTTGTCCTTGTAGATGGGATGACTGTTAAGCTGGCCAACGTATGTGCGATCTCTGATTATGTGGATGTCATCATCTGAAAGATAAAACAGGCTCCCGTGGCCATGGTAATCCCTGTGTAGGGTGAAGCTATTGTCCTCATAGCGAACAGCAAGGTATCTGCCAGTGACTATGAAACGGAACGGCCTGTTTAGATCCTCGTTATCGGGATTGAGCTGTTCTTCTGCCATGATAATCTGCTTAGAGTCAGTCTCTCTTCTTGTAAGGGACTCTGGGGCAGTGCCATAAGATAGTCAGTAGTTACCTAGGTTGGAACAGCCTGTTTCATATCTCGCTTGAGAAGTAGATGGAGAAAAGGTTTAAGTAATATACACGATGTGGGTCCCAGGCACCCATGGGATTTCATCCTAAGGCTCAGCCATTAAGCTTAGGCTCCACAGCTTATCTAGGCACCGTAGCATACTGAACAGAAAGGATATACATGGGTTTCACCTGCATTTGATAATGCCATCATCATGAGGCAATTCTAATTCTTATAAATATAGTCACCGCACCACTTTAAATATCCCGTCTCTATGTAAGAATCATATACCCGTATGAGCACTCCAAAATGGTTAGTACCGGATCTCGAAGTGATGGCAAGATCAGGAGAAGCGACGACCTGGAGGGTCTCCCTTCAACACTCAATGTTTATCCATGGGAAGGACCGGATCATTTCCAGAACGTCGTCGATTCAGAGCTCTATCAATCCAAAGATCCGGAATGCTCATCCCCCTGCGACGGGATAATCTTCTCTGACGTTTCCGAAACCATTTTCAAACGCGACTTCGAAGAAGGAACCGATCTGAGCAAGCAGTGGAAATCATATAATCAATCCCTTCAACTGCTCTTCGTTGAAATCGCCATGAGCACTCCCGAGCATACTGAGGCTACGCAGAATTTCAATTATATCCTGAAGGAAGCGGTCGATCGGATGGGACTGTCGACTGCCTTGAAAAGTTTCTCAGGCACCAAGATTCGAGGACATGACTGGGCCAAAGTACCTGATAATGGCTGGGTTCCAAGTCGTCCCCCGGCCGGCCGTTCTCGAAAATGGCCAACGGTTGTGCTAGAGGTTGGAGTCTCCCAACGGAATTCAAAGCTGGAGGAGGACGCGCGTTTCTGGCTTGAGCAGTCAGAAGGCGACGTCAAAATCTCCCTAGCAATATCAGTGAATCGACGCATTCCGGAGATCGTGCTAGAAAAGTGGAAGGTCAGCAACGGAAAGCCAGCAATGACACAGAAGGTGATAGTCTGGCGCCACAATGAAGATACCTTGTTCGATAACGAGCCCCTCATTATTGAATTTGAGGATCTGTTCTTGCGAGAAGCAGACATCCCCCGGGAAGGCAATATTGAGTTCGACCAGGGCAATCTGCGGCGTCTTGCTGAGAAAATCTGGCTGGAGCAGGGGTTCATGGAGTAGTTTAGGGATCCAGGCTTCTTCAAGTCCTGGGAAAGCCTCATTATTATCACCGAATGATAGAACACCAGCAAAAGAGTAGTGCGAGCTTAACACCTCCATGTTAAAATTTGCTGGAATACTAGCAGGCTAGAGTGTCAGGATCGAACCACTGAGCTAAAGGGAACCGTGACGGTATGTACGTCCTCAGCTAGTAGTGATATCCAGGATGGTGTGGCTAGCTCTGACAGAGCCATGAGGAA